TGCTCACATCAGCGTCAATCTCTGTGTTGCTACTCTTCATTTCTAAGGTTAGGGATAGGCTAGGACTTTTAACTAAACAACACGTAACAGAGGCAGTGTTGTTTGTCGCCTGATGCAACACCACAGAGAGGAAGAACAGAAAAGTTGGTTTCTTTCATAAAGAGATGAACAAAAATTAGTTTCCTTTTGGTCTAAAAGGTGAAATAGGATATGTTTTTCTTGCAGTTCAAGATACTTTAAAAAAAAAACAGTTCAAAGGTCAAACCCCCTTTCTTCAGGCAACCACTACTATGCACCTCCAGAGTACAGGAGCAATGCTTGTTCCTGAGGGTTCAGTTATACATTTTCGACCTGTTGTTGGAGCATTTTCTGCCAAAATTCCTAAAATTATACACTAATGTATCCATATAGCAATTTAAAAGCTAGCTAACATAGTTTTGTGTTTTCATGGTGGAAAAAAACCCTGTTTTTTCTTTTTTGTTTATTCTTAAACTCAGCAACACAGTGCCACCAACAACCAGTGAAAACCCCATGAACAAGTCAAAACTTACAGAACCCACCCCTGTCATGTTTTGTGTCCCTTTGTTCCCCAGCCCCTCCAGTTCCCACTCCAGGTTCTCCTTTTGTGTTTCATAGCGCCCTCATGTGTCCTTTGTCTGCATCTCATTTATGTGTCTCCTGTGTTCCTTTAGTCTTCTCCAGTCACCCATCTGCAGCCAGTCATCCCCCTGCAGTGTTTATAGTTTCAGCTTTTCATTTTTATTAGTCTCTTTAATATGTTTTGTCCCACCGGTTTTTGTAGTTCTCCTTCCCTTTAGAATTTTAGTTATATGGTTGCTTTTCTGTTTTTAGGTTCACTCTTAGGTCATGTTAGTTTCTTCCCTGATTAGTCATTGCTTTCACCTGGTCCTCCCCCCACACTCCACACACCTGCAGCTCATCTGCCTCCCATTATGCCCCAGTGTATTCAAGCCCTGTCTTGTCTCTGTGTCTTGGCAGTCCATTGTTGCTGTTTGTGGTAATTCTGTCAGTCTCTCGTTCCTAGTATCTAGTGTTTCTCGTGTCTCAGTTGGATCTGTAGTTTATTTTGGATTTTGGACATTTTTGGACTTTGGCTCCCTGCCCCTGGATTTATTCTTCGTTTCATCCTTCAAAATTAAAGGATTTTACTTTACATCATCTCCTGCCTCGTGTCATCCTGGGTTTCTGCACTTTGGGTTCTAACATCCCTCCAAAACGTGACAAGCCCCAAACTTGCTTATTTTTGCTCATTTTAAATATATTTTTAAACATTTTCTAAATGCTTTTTTATATTTTTACATTTTTTTTAATTTTTTGTTTTTGTGAAGCGCCTCATGATTTTTATCTTGAGAGGCGCTATAGAAATGATATTTTCTTCTTCTCCTCAGACTCACTTTGTCTTCTCTGCCAGCTCCTCACACAAACACGCACATTGCCAAGGCAACAAACTGACAGACAGCTCTGCCAGCCAGGCTGCGTTCACAGACAACAGGTCCATTACCTAAACATATCCCTACAAGAACTGAACCAGACTCTAAACAGAAAAAATCCTCCTTAAATCATTCAATTCAAACAGAACAGATCATTGCATTCATTCATTTTTGTTACACTATCTAGCTTGGCTCTAGCTTCACTTCCTGTTTAATAGCTCAAAATCGAGAATGCATGATTCATGCAAAAACAGGGGTACACACAGTGGGGTGGGAGAGTAAGAGGAAAGTTTTATGGATGGATCATGATCTAATCATTGAAGAGGATGTTCACTCAGAAACAGTTTTTTAACTCATTGATTTTGGAAATGATCGGTCACTCTGAGTTTTTCCTGCAGGCTGAACATGAAAATAGTCTTCTACACCTATCTCCTGCCTTGGCTTCTGACAAAAAATAAATGGCGAAACTCTAGGATTTTGAAAATCCTGACAGATCTACGTCACACTGCCACTTAACATTTATGAACTCACCCATCTTGACTCGCAACGGGTAAGGCTGTTGTTGGCTTAGTGTCCAGGGGCCCGTCTCATCCAGTATAAGCTAACCATTAGCAATAGCAACTCCACAACACAGCAGAACTCCTCCGGGCTTGAGTTATTAGTGGGGATAAAACACCAATGTTGCTAAGCAAACTGAGTCAGTAATAGTCACGTTGCTGTTTTCCAATCAGAAGTGAATTGTTCAAATATCAGGAAATAAAACTCCAAATCTTGTCGTCTGAAGCTTTTTGTCACGATACGAGGATGGTAGGACCCAAAATGCAGGAACACAAGATGACACGAGGCAGGAGATAATATAAAGAAAATCCTTTATTTTTGAAGGATGAACAAAAGTAAATCCAAAGGTGGGAAGCCAAAATCCAAAATCCAGGTAACGATCTGGAAATCCAAAAACTCTACTAATCCAAAACGAGACGAGACTGACAGCATTACAAACAATGGACCGACACAAGACAGAGACAAGACAGGGCTTATACACACAGGGAGGAGTAATTAGGGAAAATGGCAGCAGGTGTGTGGAGTGAGGGCTGGAGGGAAGACAGGTGAATATACTTAACTAAATGGGAAGACAGCAACAGAGGAGGGAAAATAAACCTAAAACACAAAACTAAACAACAATTATCTAAAGACAGAGGGAAGGGCTCACACACATGCATACACACACATACACACACTGACACACATGTAAGCTCACACACACATACACACACTAACACAAACATACACTCACACACACACACACATATACTGAGCTGGGGGAACAAGAGGCTGGAGCTACAACTGGAGGGGCTGAGGATGACTAAATGAACACCGGACTTGGAGGGGCTGAGGATGACTAAATGAACACCGGACCTGAGGGAATGCTATGAAGGCCTACAAACAGAAGACACAATAAATGAGACGCAGACAAAGGACACATGAGGGCGCTATGAGACACAGAAGGGAATCTAGAGAGGGATGGAGAAACATCAGGAGACACATGAGGAAGACGCAGACGCAGACCATGACACTTTTGTCTAATGTGGCAGTCTACTAGTTCCTGAAATAGGTGCACTGGGGCTTTTTCCCCCCAGAGCATGACTTACGAGACATTCATTCCTACTAGAGACGACAGCAAATGTATTAAAAATGTGAGTGAAGAATCTCTTTAGGAATGCGGCATTCACAATGATTGGATGGGATATTTCCAGGATTGTATATTTAAATTATTCAGTTTTTCTGAACATTTAATGTATTGGTTGCCATGTGAGGAGCATTTTAAGCAATATGGCAAAAAAAAAAAGGTCCAGAAAAATGTATTTCCCTGCATCTTTAAAAGGCACCATTTCTATTTCAGGTTCTGTGAAGAACAGGAGTAATTTCTTTCCATTTCATGGTAAATACGACACACATTTTTTCTTACAGAGAGCCCCAGATGGAATGTGGTGGTTTATGATATAACTGGTTCAGATCTCAGCTGGGGTCTTTCTGGGTAGAGTCAACATGCTCTCCTGCTTGTTGTTCCTGTTCCTTCGTCATTTTCTTCACCTTCTAAATACAAGAATGGACTGTGGAGAGTTCTTAGTGCGCATGACTTTCTGGGGTCAATAAAAGAAAAACAAATATACTGCATCATTAAAAAACTCAGAAAGGTCACATTAATAAATTCCTGAAAAGCGCTGATGGTGTATTTTGCAGCAAAAGCAAAGCATGAAGGCGAGTCCATGAGTGACATCATCCATCCATTCGCTCCTTCTTATAGACATTTGCTCCGTCATGATTGTTAGTAAGAGGCTGCAGTGCCAGTTTGACTCGATGCTGTTAAAACGGAGCAAAGCCATAGAGACACTTATTACATCCACCCACGGATGCCTCAGTAGAAACGTAAAATCCAGTTTTTATTGTTCTCAGAAAATGAATTGCTACAATAAAGTTGCAATAAAGCAGGGGTGGGGAACCCTGGCCCATCGAGGGCCGCTATCCAGCATATTTTAGTTTCAACCCTGCATCTTCACACCTGATTTCAATCAGCAGGTGAGTAACAAGCTTCTGCAGAGCTTGATGAGCTGCAGAACAGGTGAATTAACTACTGAATCAGAAGTGCTGGAGCAAAGACATGAAGGATACCAGCCCTCGAGAGCCAGGGTTCCCCACTCCTGCAATAAAGGAACACAATATACAAGTCGTGGAGAGTCATAGAGATGATGCTTTGCTGCACCAGTCGATAACTTTTAAACTGTTACTTAAAGGCTTCTGGCACAAAAGTAAACTTCAAAATGAGCAAAGTTTTACAAGTTTGAATCAGGACTTTAGTGGTCCTTTAAAGTTGACACCACCGTTAGTGGATCTGACACAGAATTAGGTTGGAATATGCCTTATTTTCTATGAAGGTTTTCAAACTGCTCGTTTTGCTGCATAAACAACCTCAACACAGTCAAATATCCATCAAAAAATATTTCAAAAATGTATACGACTAATTCCCGTTTCTACATATATTCTGTGATGCCTTTGCCCACACAAGCTAACAGAAACCTCGAGACTTAGATCTAAATTGAGTGTGGTGTCAGTCTAGTTCTCCTAGAGAGTGGGATGCATTATTTAGTGCATAAGACAATTATTTACTGCCGACGGAGAGGATTCAGACTCCAGTTATTACTCACTCAGACGAACACAGGTCACACCAGGATGTCCTACAGTGTTAAAAAAAGTGCTGATTGCAGAGTGAGTTACACAACAGAACTACGACTGTGCAGGCTCTGAGTAAGGAGTCACCCTGCATTAAACAGCTGCTTGTTTAATCAGACTGGATGCTCCAGTGAAGCTTCAGTTTAAGTGAAAGGAAAGTCTCAACTTGAAAGGGTTTAAATAAGAATTAAGTCTCATGCATATTTTCTTTAATGGTTAAGTAGTTCAAGAGGTCTGGCAAATGTTTTTTTTACTAGCTTATTCTAAACTGTCACATGTGAGGTTTACAGTGTAGGAAGTCCGTGAAGTCTGGGAGAAACTCACCCGAGGACTCCCAGTCTGCTCAGAACTCTGCGTCTCCTTCTTCTTCTGCTCCTGAGCCACAACATCTCTCAGAACTTCAATCACCTGGAAGGAAGAAAAGACAAACCCTTGTGATCTGATGAGCAATAATCCGAGACATCCAGCTGGAACATCCACATAAAGAGTGGATTCAGCTCATTAGAATGAAGGTGTTGTTCACACATTGAAATATTTATTTTTTTACTTGGCACAAACAGAAATAGTGATAAGAAGACACAATCTTTGATTTCTGGTTGTTGATCCGTTCTTCATTGAAGTCAATCCTATTAAATTAAAATAAACAAATAATGAAATAAAATGTCAAAAGTCACAGATCACACAGCTGGATTTTTCTGAGTTTATTTTGCTTCAGCGGAACAATACAAAGAGGTTATGATTTTGGAAGTTCAATTCAATTCAATTCAATTCAATTCAATTCAATTTTCTTTATATAGCGCCAAATCACAACAAGAGTCGTCTCAAGGCACTTCACATAATAAACATTCCAATTCAGGTCAGTTCATTAAGCCAATCAGAAATAATGTTTCCTATGTAAGGAACCCAACAAATTGCATCAAGTCACTGACTAGTGTCAGTGTCTTTACAGCAATGCTCATACTAAGCAAGCATGCAGCGACAGTGGAGAGGAAAACTCCCTTTTAACAGGAAGAAACCTCCAGAGGATCCTGGCTCAGTATAAGCAGCCATCCACCATGACTCACTGGGGATCGAGAAGACACACACACACACACACACGCACGCACGCACGCACACACGCACGCACACACACACACCAAGCAATGTGTCTATGGTTACATTGTGATGTCTTTGTAAATATTCTATTTGGTGAGAGATAATCTTTATTTTATTTATCCTAGTGAATCTATTGTTAAACGGGTAAACTAGTAGTAGCACATCCAACGTCAAGGAAAGCAAAAAGTTATTGTCAGGAGAGGGAGAATGTTTTAGTGGCTAGCAGCAGTGTGCTAGACGATAGCCCCCTCCATGAGGCCACCACAGCTCAGCAGAACATCATTGTAGCTTCTTTTGGGGAGAAAACACTTAAGAGAAAAAATAAAGTTAACAGCTGAAATTGCAGAAAATAAAACAGTTAAAGAGCAGATTGTAGAAGAAAGTAGAAGAGTGTGGAAAGTGGTCAGTGTGTCCTCCAGCAGTCTAAACCTATAGCAGCATAACTACAGAGATAAATCAAGATAACCTAGCCTTTTTAGATGGAGGCAGGGCAAGGGAGAGCCGTCTTTACCGACTGTACACTCCACCTCCCTCTACAGAAGTGTGGTGTGTTCTAGCAGAGAGCCGTCTGTCTGTCCAGCAGGAGACCAAGACCACTCCTCCTGTCTGCTGTGTGTGTGTGTGTGCGTGCGTGTGTGCATGTGTGTGTGTGTGTGCGTGCGTGCGTGCGTGCGAAGCACATAGCTGGCAGCACTTCAGTGCTTCCAGAATGTAAACAGACAGGATTCTGTTCTACTGTACACGACAGAAGCCATCTGTGTGTGCAGGCTGTGGAAGCTACCACTTGGGTATCACACTGAAAATATAAAAAAAGTCATTTAAATGGATTTATTTTTACACTTGATGAAACATTTTAATATTTAAATACCATAAATGTTTCATCTGAATGTTTTGTCATTTAGTAAAGTAAAAGTAAACATGTTCTTAACCTGATTTTACTGCATCTAGGTCATTAACACACACACACGTGCAGACGCACACACACATGCAAAAATCACAAACCTTATTAATCCACATGGTCACCGCGTCCTCTGTGTCGTACCGAGTTTCCTCCTCAGGATCACAGGATGAATACTGATGAAGGCAGGTCCTCACTTTCTCCACAGTCACCGTTTCCATGGTGTACGCCATCATCAGAGTGTCAATCATCGCCAGATGAGCACTCTGGGAGGAACAAACAAAGTGAGAATAAATGTTTCTGATGCTGATGATTAGTGACAGATCATTTCAACACGCTGAATATAAAAGGTGTATTTTTTATTTCTCAGCAGGGAACTCCAGCTGTAGCTAGATCTAAAGCAGGGAAGACCAAGAAGGTGAGAAAAAAGAAAATGCACCAAGTTTGCTTGCTTAGCAAAACAATTCATCTCTCTACTTTTTTATTATGGGCTCAAAACACAGGAGGCGAGACCAGTGAAACTCAATGGTATCGCTTTAATAACCAGAGACACGGGAGGCGACGTGCGGCAGCAGCAAAAGCCAGCAACGAGCTCTGTTCCAGGGCGTATGACGAGTCTTCCGTTGTTTTAATTGGCTGTCAGACTGGAGGGAATTTTTGATTATTGAAGCAGTTCAGAGTTGAAAAAGCGGTAGATATGAAGTCTCACAAGGTTTTGCTAGTTAACTGAAGTCTTACTTCTGACTTTACTATATAAAATTCCCCACGCCGCTGCCTTGTGAAGATCTCTATATTCTTTTGTAGAAATACTGTAAAGCTCTGGGAAATCCGAAACAGCAAGTATTAACTTTCCTCCATGTTTACCCAGAAATGTACTGAGAAGCATCCCGTCCGCTCATTAGTTAGTCAATGAAAACTCTGCTGATTGGTCCTCGTCCGAGTGACAGCAATGAAAAGTTGAATTTTTCTCTACTTTCTGGGACCTCGTCTCTGGCTCGCCTGCGTGTGTTGCTTAGCAGGATGAAGACCCGCGATTATCACTTAGTCGCACATGTCACATTGAAAATTAATGGAGGGGAGACGTGTGTCGAGTCCATTAGAATTCAAAGGACCTATGTCCTGAGTGGGACATGAGAGTAAATCTGCAGCCTCTGGGTCTGCAGCTGTGTATTATTGTGGAATTCACATGGGGAGGGCAGGATTTGATTGAATCCTAGCGTCTTATGTCTGGTTGAAAGAATGGGTCATGGAAGTAAGCTATTCCTTAAAACATGACGTGTTAATGGTGCCAACTGTAATATTTTATCATAGATTGTACAGGTTTCTTAACCAATTGTGATGTTTGAGCAAATTCTGCCAAAAGTGACATCACACTAAAGTAATACAATTTTGATCTGAAAGAATCTGACATGATGCTGTGGTTGACTGCAGGTGAAGGCAGCCATTTTTAGGTTCTAACCAACTCTTTCTCTATATTTTACATCTGATAAGATGAATTTTCCATAGCAGCTGTTGCCATGGAAACATTTATATTCATCCCCTATTAAAAGATCCAATTCACTAGGAGTGACTGACAGCCTTTGATGGTCCAACTGACACACATTTTAGAAAACAGAGTTCATCTGACTGAGGTCTTCTGTGCAGCTCATCTCAATATCATCCCATAAGCCAATGCCCTAATTTCAATGTCTATCATTAATCATGTAATAATTTGTTTTTATTATTTATTGACTTACTTCTAATTAGTTAAAGATGTGAGAATTGATTAGTTGTATCAGTGTTTTCTATATGCAGCTTGACCTTTAGTAAGATGTTTATTCCAGGAAGTCAAACATAGAAAATACAAATAAATGAAATTAGCTATCATAAGGGCATTTTCAGCTCTTAAATGCATTCAGTGTGAAATATCATTAACCTAACATTTAATTTCCTCTATCTCTAAATTGGCATCAATGCAGCAAAGAAACTGCCTTTAATAACACACTGCCAGGATGTTTCCTACTAGCCTTCATTTACGCTGTCCAAACACACACACACACACACGCACACACACACACACACACACACACACACACACACGCACGCACGCACGCACGCGCACACACACACACACACACACACACACAGATCCTGTTACTAGATTTCAGAAAATACATCCGGCGACTCCAATATTAAAAATGGCTGAAGGACCAGGGAGAACCCTCTGTGGGCTCTTTCTCATCCTCCATCTGCTGAATAATTTGAAGATATTGATCTGATTCTACTCTAGTCTTTTGGGATAAAATGACAACAGAGGCAGTTAATCTTGTTAACCAAAGCATAGACCTGCAGTCTCTAACTCTGTTGAATGACAACAGGATAATGTGTGGGCGGCGGGGTCAGAGGGGGACCACGGGCCTGAATTGAGATACTTCTGCGAGCACGATCATCCAACACCAAGAAAAAAATTCATTTCACTTTAGTAAATTTGAAGAAAGATCTGATGGAAGTTTCTTGGACATTTAGAAACTGGACAAAAACAGGATGATTTTACTGCACAAAGAAAACAGCCACATTTCTCTGACATTTGCAATAAAGTTTTGTTCAGTCCATGAGATTAAAGGAAACAGCCTAACCTTTGGGTTTTCTGTGCACACATGCTCCCATTCAGCATGATTTAATCTCACATTCCTCCAGCTGTATTCACACAAACCTCTGAGCTGCAGGGACATCCACATATCAAACCAGGTTTAAAAGATAAAGATTGCTGCTTTCATTTAAAAAATAATTTTCCAAAATTCTACCTCATGATTTTTGCAGAATTAATTAGAATTTGATGAACAACACTCATTTGTGCAGAAATGTATACAAATATAATTGCATACACGTATTTTGCTGATTGAATCCACAAATCTCATGGATTTTTCAGGAAGTGAGAAGACGCTGTTTCACAGTCAATTTCCTGTTTCTCATTCTGCTGCTGCTTAGCCATCTCTCAGGGAAAAAAACAGTAACCCTGCTCATATTTAATATGGTTTCATGGTGGAAATCCTCCATTGAGGCTCAACAAGCCTCACACAAAAGACCTGCAAGTGTGACCGTCAGTGATCCACAAATATGGTCTGAGATGGATTTTACTTCACAGGAAGAAAATCCCCTATTGTCAAAGCTTTACCTGTAATCCATTATCAGAAGAATGACCAAATTACATTCATCCTCTACTCAGATTTATGAAGAGTGTCTGAAATCTTTGATCTGGCAGTTCTGCAGAAGAACGTTACTAACGACCAGCCTGGGACTGTTTGGCTTTATTGATAACATTTATGACACAAAAACCACACAAGTAGGGGTGTGCATTGGCAAGAATCTGATACGTTATATCCCAATGCAGCGAAGACGTTACAATATATTGTGATGCTAAACGCCACATTATATTTGCAATTTTTAATACTGAATTTAAAAGGTTTGGTTTACTTACTGCTCATTTAACCTAGACCATGGCTGTGTCACAAGTAATGACCACTGACTGTACATTTAATATGAACAGACCCTTTGGAGCTGAATTCAGATTCAGATTCATTTATTAATAACCACACAACAAGTTGGTGGGCTTTGTTTCCAGTCCAGCATGACATGCTCACAACATATGTAGTGTGAAACTACAAGATAATTATGACCAATAAGATGTGATCATTCCATGTAAATATGAAATATCAACCTAATTGATCTTTGAATGTTTAATCAGAAGATTCAAGGGTTCTTTGCTACTTTAGGGACCACAAACATGCTTCGTATTAATTCAGACAGAGTCAGCATATAGTTTATAAAACAAATTGAATTCTTTTTCCTAAACTAATGATTATACATGACAATATATGAATAATGAGATGGTTTAATAGATATGGAGTGATTTAAAGGGGCATTATGGAAGTTTGACAGCCAAAACATGTATAGAAATAATACATTTCTTCTTCATACATTCTCATGCAATGCCCTGGTCCTGTAGAATGAGCCCTGGCATTTTTACTGTGATTGCCTGTTTTTCTGTAAAATCACAGAAAAAGAAAGCTGCTCAGGTCGAGCAGGCTGCTTCATGTGCGTTCACGCTCAGGCATAGCCCGTAGCATTTGCTATCAGTAGCTTTAGCAGCAGAGAAAGAGGCAGTGCCAACTCAGCGACTTTGTCGCTGTTCCTAACGCCTAGTGATGAACCATTTCTGAGGACCCTTAGCTACTTTCTTCTAGATATTTCCTGCAACTTAGCAACAAAATAGCCATTTTCGCTCCGAACAGTTCTTTGAATGTTGTTTCAGCTGTCATCAGGAATATAAATATTACAGATACAAAAGACACCACTGGTGCTATAGCTCATCCAGTAAGATGGTGGACTACCGTGCGGAAGACCTGGGTTCAATTCTACATGGGAACATAATTTATTTAGAGTTTATTTTTTACATTAATGGTATATTTTTTTACAGTAAGATGCCCACATTTTTATTTGAGACTTGCCGAACGGCACTGAATTAATTCACAGATAAAAAAGATGTGGGTTCAGCTTTCATTTTGGAACAATTTTTCAAGCAAGGGAAGGGAATGATCTGAGCATGCAGGACTGACCCATTATAAACCTTTGTCAGCTGTGCTGGTACAGAACCAACGAGGCGTTGCACGTACAGCATGCACGCCTCGTGCACGGGCCTACTATTGAAGCTGCCGTTACGCTTTTGGCCTGAGGGGGCAATCGCGAGCATAAAAATTCAAAGCTCCGTAAAGTCCCTTTAATGTGATGTGTGAAATGTTGTAATGGAAGCTAGACGTTTTAGCAAGCGTCCTTTGTATCTGAGAAAGTTGTGAAGTCTGGGTTGTAAAATAATTTGTTGTTGTTTATAACTAGTTTTTTATTTAAAAACCATCTGACGCAATTGGTGCCAAGTCTGTGCACCCTTTGTGCGAGGTTCTTGTTCGATCCAGGGGGTCGTGCTGGTCACTGCTGGTGAATTCTTTCTGCTGTGTGAGTATGATTTTTTCATATGATTTCATTATAACAGATGTGAGGGCTATAGGCCTGTAGTTGTTGAGACAGGATGTTTTGTTTGATTTGGGTATCGGAATGATAACAGAATCCTTAAAGCAGTTGGGAACTATACACCGACTGAGGGAACTGTTGAAGATGAAGGTGAAGACTGGGGCCCATTGGGCAGTTCCATCACCACTATCTGGGCCGCGTCATGCGTCTCTTCACTGCTGGTAAAAACAAAAATGGAGCTGAGGGCGGGGCTGTGAGAATG